TGGGCCTCGAAACAGGTTGGAATCCATTCCCAGAAGGTCTTCTTCGGTTTGTTTCTGTTAAATGTATTTCCTCTGCTTGCACCCTAATGCATGCACCCACATGCATGCACACACACACACACACACACACACACACGCGCGCGCACACACGCGCGCACACACGCACGCACACTGGTGCTGCTGACACATCATTCATTCATGCCTCCACTTACCTCCTAATTAAGAAGATAAAGCTGCTTCTCCATTCAGAGTAAAGTAGAGATTACACTCAGACCAGTGGTGCAGCTCCTTGCTGGACATCTGTTTTGTCTTTCAGCCCTAGCTGTCTTCAGAGTGCTAGTCAGAAGCATCTGTGTTGTCTTAGAGGGAAATGTTGAGTCTCAGTTGACCCTCTGTACTCAATCCATAGTGGATTTTCTTTTTTCCTGAGATCTGGCTTTTCTCCTATACCTTCCAGTTAGTAATGTATTCTGTACTGTGATGCCTAACACATGGAATAATTTAGGTCAATAATGCCATGTTACTGACTCTTTTCTTCTCTGCCCCATGTTCATACATAGCTACAGATTTGCCCTCTCAAAGCAAGTGAGTTAGAAAAATTTTTCTCTGAAGTCTGCCTCCTGCTGGCCCGCTGATGAGCAGCCAGCACCCCTGCAACAGCTACACCAGAGAAGAGGGAAGAGGGGTGCAAGGGTGGCAAAGGAGTCACAGAGTACATCATCTGCACAAAGCATGAGAAGGTCACTTGTCCCTAATTAAAGCTTTGTTTCTTGCTCAAACTGTTAGCAACCCTAAAACCTTTAGTGCAATCTCTTTAGATTGGGGGCCTTGAGCCTTGAGAGGTGATATCCCCTGCTAATGAGCAGTATACTGTAGCTAATGGCTAATATCTGACTTAACAAGTGAGTACAAACCATAAATGTACTTTTGAGACTGAGTTACCTTACTCAGGATGATGTTCTCAAGTTTGATTCATTTGCCTGCAAAATTTATGATGTCATAGTTTTTAATAACTGAGTAGTATTCCTTTGTATAGATGTATCACATTTTCTTTATCTATTCTTCAGATGAGGGATATCTAGGTTGTTTCCAGTTTCTAACTAAAGCTTCTATGAACGTAGCTGGGCAAGTGTCTGTGGAATGTTGGAGCATCTTTTGATGCTAGGAATGAAGTAGCTGGGTCTTGAGGTAGAACTATTATTCCCAGTTTTCTGAGAACGTGTCAAATTTATTTCCAAAGTGGTTGTACAAGTGTGGACTCCCACTGGAAACAGAGGAATGTTTCCCTTGCTCCACATCCTCACCAGCATGTTCTGTCTTTTGAGTTTTTGATCTTAGCATTCTGATGGGTGTAAGATGGAACTTCAGAGCTGTTTGATTTGCATTTCTCTGATGACTAAGGATTTTGAACATCTCTTTAAGTGCTTCTTGGCCATTCAAGATTCCTCTGTTGAGAATTCTCTGTTTAATTCTGTACCCCATTTTTAATTGAGTTATTTGGGTTGTAGGTGTCCAACTTTATGGGTTCTTTGGAAATTTTGGATATTAGCCCTCTGTCAGATGTAGAGTTGGTGAAGATCTTTTCCCAATCTGTAGGTTGCCCATTTTTCCTATTGACAGTGTTTTTTGCCTTACAGAAGCTCTACAGTTTCATGAGGTTGGTCTTAGAGCCTGAGCCATTGGTGTTCTGTTCAGGAAATTGTCTCCTGTACCAATGTGTTCAAAGCTATTTCCCACTTTCTCTTCTATGAGATTTACTGTATCTGGTTTTGTGTTGAGGTTCTTGATCCACTTGGACTTCAGTTTTGTGCAGGGTGATACACATAAATCTATTTTCATTCTTCTACAAGTAGACATCCAGTTAGTCCAGCATCACTTATTAAAGATGCATTCATTTTTCCATCATATGGTTTTGGCTTCTTCATCAAAAATTAAGTATCCATAGGTGTGTGAGTTTATTTTTGGGTGTTTAATTCAATTCCATTTATCAATGAGTCTGTTTCTGCACCAATAGCATGCAGCTTTTTAACACTACTGCTCTGTAGTACACTTGAGGTCAGGGATGATGATTTCTCCTAAAATTCTTTTCTTGTTTAGGACTGTATTGGCTATCCTGGGGTGGTGGTAGTTGTTGTTGTTCCATATGAAGTTGAGAATTTCTCTTTCAAAGTCTATAAAAATTGTGTTGGAATTTTGATGGGGATTGCATTAAATCTGTAGATTGCTTTTGGTAAGATGGCCATTTTCACTATGTTAATTCTACCTATCCATGAACATGGGATATCTTGCTATCTTCTATTATCTTCTTCAATTACTTTCTTTCTTCACAGACTTGAAGTTCTTGACACACAGATTTTTTTCACTTGCTTGGTTAGACTTACACCAAGATATTTTATACTATTTCTGGCTATTATAAAGAGTGTTGTTTCCCTAATTTCTTTATCAGCCCATTTATCATTTGTATAAAGGAGGGCTACTGATTTCTCTAAGTTAATTTTGTATCTGGCCACTTTGCTGAAGGTGTTTATCAGCTGTAGAAGTTTTCTCGTAGAATTTTTTGGGTTGCTTCTGTACACTATTATATCATCTGAGAATAGTGATACTTTGACTTTCTAACTTATATTTCTAATCTATATCCCCTTGATATCCTTTAGTTGTTTTATTGCTCTGGTTAGAACTTCAAGTACTATTTTGAATAGATATGGAGTGAGTGGTCAGCCTTGTCTTGTCTCTGGTTTTATTCAAAATGCTTTGAGGTTCTCTCCATTTACAAACTGCATTTTTTTTAAATCATATGTTCTAACATAATACAATACAAAGACTAATTGGGACACAAAATAGTAAAAAAATGATGATAGAAAATTATTTAAAATACTTTACTTTTCATAATTAACTGATGCTTCTATAAGAATGGAAACTTTGTGTGTACATTTTTTTTAAAAAAACTACAGTTTACAACATACGATAGTCTTGAATCTGAATTAAGATGCTACAGGAAGAGTTTATTGACACAATGAGGGCATGATGGCAAACCTCAGGTGACCTGTGCTCAGCACCAAGAATGTGGTAAAGCCAAAGATGTAGGATCTGACCACCAGAACACTTTGGGCTCACTACATATTGCCTCTGATTAATTTTTGATCATCAGATGTTCAGATACCTTTTCCTGTTGCTAAGGTTTTGGCACATTCACACTCAGGTAAGTGGCCCACTATCTATAAGCATTTTCCCCATGTTGACTCAGTCTTTGTGGTAGCCTTGAGAGGTAAAAGCTCCATTACTAACTTCTTATAGACATGAGAGTGGACTCAGAGACATAGAAACACTGGCCCAATCCCACAACTAGCAAGAGCAGGAGCCATGTAGCCACAACTCTTTTCATTTTACAGACAAGAAAACTGAAACCCAGGAGGCTGAGTAACAAACCCTCTCACCAGCAAGCTGTAGATCTTTCTGGAATTTCTCCTGATGCCATGCACTTGTTTCCCACTGGACCACTCTCAGAAGACTGCATCCTGAACCATTGCCCATGTAACCCCCTTTCCAGCCATCTGCACCCCAGCCTTGATCTTCTGTTATTCTATCTTCCCAGTGCTCTTTAATGGTGGGGTCCCAATCTTACTGGTCTTTTTGTCCCAGTGCCTAGGACATCTCTGGCAATTAACATTATGATTTGTTCTTCTGTATGTCAAGAAAAATAGTTTTATTGGGTTCCCCTGTATTTGGCTCATGCATTCCTGTG